GCTGGCTGATTTTGGCAGCCAACGGTAAAATACTTGGCTGCCAACTATTCCAAACATCTGGCATCCCTAAAAGTAGAAAGTCACAATTTTTTACTCCTAAAATGATAGGAGTCTCGCAAAACGTCACGAGACACCAAAAGCCATCTACTTGAAAAGGTGATAAGAAGTAACTGTTTCTTATGGTCCCCACTATGTCTCGCAACAAGCTATCGTTGTATCAATCCAAACATTTTTAAACATCTATTGATACATCGACGTGTTTGTACTCAAGTATTCTTCACATTCCCATCTTTTTTTAGAATACCTAGTTTTGCTGAGCCACAACATTCTTAAATTATTCTTAAAATAACAAGGTGCCACTGAGTCGCATGGTAGTGTCATAAAGACTCCAAGGCCAAATATGTCTACTTAAGACATATAGCGTGAAATTCGCATTTTTTTTGCTTTGAACAAAACTCAAATAAACCAAAAATGTGATTCTTGATTAAGCTTGAGCGTTGCATTATTTTTTAACTATTCTTAAATTTCAGCGATTTAGAGCCTTAATACTCATAGACTGTTTTTTTATAAAAAGTGTGTACCCTGAATCATATGAATGAATTAAAATTCCTAAAACAAAACTAGCGCTACTCAAGCACTACTGAATAAATCGGTTATTGAACCTCACTGCGCAACCACACTGTGCTCTGACTCTGAGCCAACAAGTAAGATAGCCTCTCTTGCTATTCGACCCGTCATTGTATCACTTTTTTCGCTTCTTAGAAATAGAAACAATTTCATGAGTTATTGAAAAATTAATTGAAAGTTGAAAACTTTGCCTCTGTAGCTAGATAAAAAAGAAGTTTTCCATAAATGCTTAAATTGGTTTTGCCAAAAAGTTCCACAGGGGAGACCATATCTTTGGTACAGTAGTCTTTGTGCTCCTTGAATTATAAAATCCGCTTCAATGTTGACCATATCCACATTCGCTCGAAAGTCAACAGCAAACTACAGCAAAATTCTTCCCGGGTGCTACAACGGAAGACATGAACCACTATGCTATACTAACGAAGAAAAGAAACCAGGAATGTTGATATTGCATGTTGGAACGAATGATTTAAAATCGAGCAAACACTTTTCGAGAGAGCTGGAAAAATACACCTTTTAGTTCGTGCACAAATCTTAGTAATGAGTGTAGCATAGACATACAAGAAAATACATCTGAATTAGATCAATCCATTAATTGATCTTTAATCCAGGAAAATAGTAATGACGATCAAAACCTGCTAGAAGAGCTCCGGAAGAACAACGCGAAGGGTTTAGTAATTGACCACCTTAACATAAACTCAGTTCGAAACAGGTTTGTTGGAGCGATCGAGTCCTGGGAATAGGGTGGTGCCCAGTCTTTCTCCCGTCGACCACTGCGTTGACATGTCTTTCGTGATAAATCGCTTGGGCACATGACCTCAAGGGTTAGTTAGTTGACTATTGTGGCTGAGTGTGTAGTAAGCACGTTTTGTTACGAAGATCACATACATAATCTCACAAATGGATTTTCTCTATGCTCTGACCTAGACTTTACAACAAGGTTTGACTCCTTTAAATTCCTAGTTGCAAAAAATGTCGATATCCTTGTTTTTAGTGAAACAAAAATAGATAGCATATTCCCTCCTGGTCAATCTTTGATAGAAGGGTTTAAGCCTCCTTTGAGGTATGATCGGAATCAGCATGGAGGAGGAATATTAGTTTCCATACGAGAAGGGATCCCATCTAGAGAATTGAAGCTTGAATTTTCTATAAATATGGAATGTAAGAAACTCTCTCGGAAAGAAACTTTCGAGGGAAGAAACTTTCACGGGAAGAGACTTTCACGGGAAGAAACTTTCACGGGAAGAAACTTTCGAGGGAAGAAACTTTCACGGGAAGAAACTTTCGGGTTTTTGCGTTTTTGGCCTAAAATCGCGAATGTTTGATACCTGAAACTTCCTGAAATACTAAATTTGCGAATACTTAATTTTTGTAAAATATCCAAAAAATTTTGCTGTTGATCGTATTGGAAACTTTGATGACGAATTATTGTTTTGAACAAATTTTAATATGGTTTCGTTGTTTTGTTGGTATCATGTGGAATAAAAGATAGAAGAAAACCACAATTGGATAAAAATGTTTTTCGCGCAAAATTCATGATTTTCATTAAGGTGGCAGTCTACCTTGAAAGCAGCAATATGGAAAACTGGCCAAAACTTGATAATGGCTTGAGCTTGAAGCTTGAAACTTTCAGGTTATAAACAATGTAAGATTTAAAAAGCAAAAATAGATGTCTGGAAGGGTGTGGCAATGACGTTGCCATAG